ATCACTTTTTCTATCACCTCTTTAAACTGCTCACCCTCCAACGTACTCTTGGGCCAAACCTCCACCGTATCTGGGCCCACTCTTCAACTCCAAGCTAAGTTTACCCCTTCTGGTCTCACTATTAAATTTCTGCTTTAAGTCCACCTGTTTCCAGCCCAGCTCATCACACTTTTTTAAGTCCGCACTCCCCATAAGATTACGTGTTAATCCACTAAAACCCAGCCCAGCCCGCTGTCGTTGTTTATCTTTCTATCGAAATACCTGTTTGTCTTTCCTCTTCTCCCTTTTCATTCTCCCTCTTCTCAAAATCAGCATTACAGTAGGCCTTTTTTGAAAAAGCACCAGAGTAAGTCTCGAGCTTGAAGTGCATAGCATCTCTTCGTTCTCTCCCTTCCCCCTCAAAGCTTCCAGTCTATTTGTGCCACATGTACTCCACCAAACCCTACCTGCCTCATCTTCAACCTCTCGCCTTCCATACTACAGGGACGCTTCAACTTCTGATGCCACCCAGAGTTTCCACCATCTCCCTTCGGTGAATAAGTCGATGGTGCAGGGAATCCTCTTAGGTTTAGTGCCTGCAACTGTAATCTTCACTGCGTGAAGGTCAGAAGTGCAAACATCTTCCATTACTCCACCACATGCACCTACTAGCTTATCGAAGACTTGATCCATCAACAAATTAAAAGGCAAACCAAAAATCTTCAAGATAACACTCCCTCCAGGTATTGAAATTTCATTGCAAGAAGGTGTCCAGTTCGTCACTGTCACCAAACCTTCTGAAGTTTCAACAGTCATGAGCTTTGCCTTCGAATTTCCAATATTCAGAACTGCTTTACTGTCATTGAAACAGTCGAATCCACATTTGGAATTCTAATCATACATTTTTAATAATGCTCTTCCAATCTCTAACCTTCTTTGCTGTCACCATCATCATTTTTCTCCAATCATCCTTAACTCCTCCCATGGCCAACTTTGGGACGCCATCTGCTCCTTCAATCGTCACCTCCCGAATCCCCTTACGTTCCTCTGACTCCTGAAACTTCTTCTCTACCCCCAAACCTTCTAACTTTTCCTCTTTCATCCAGCACCTTTCCTCGTTTTCCTACATCACCTCAGCAACTGCAAATCATCCCTGTCTATTTCTTCCTACTGGCAAACAGATAGTTTGTCTCCTGCCATATTCCATCTTTTCATCTATCCTCATAAAAACATCCTTTGTTATTGACTTTTTTTCTCAAACGTTGCCCCCTCGACAAATCCTTTAACCCAACCTGCAACAGCCTCGTACATGAAAACCGTGGCCCTCCCTCTTCGAACATCAAAACTTCTCCCTCCTTAGACTCCTCAACCAGAAAACCGCAAATCTTTTCCTCCAAATAATCTTTTAGTGGGGCTGATGTATTGGGTCTGGTGGATTTTCGAGATTTTGGAAAAGATTCCACCCCTTGCTAAACTGCTATAAAATGATTCGACAGCAAACTTGCCTGACTTCTCCAAGGCTCACATTCTCCTGTCCTCCCTTCCCCAAAGTATTTTCAGGTTCATGTTCCTAGTTAGCCATTTAAACATCTTCATCTCATCCCTATAACACCAAATTATCGACTCTGGATCTTTCGGCCAACCGGTCACCAATTTTGAATCCCCTTCAATCTCCAAATTTATCAAGCCCAGTTCGCTTGCAATCTGTACCCCTTTCATAACAGCAAGCACTTCTGCCCTAATAGAGTCCCCCATTCCCACAGGACCGGAGAATAAAGCCATAATGTTTCCTTCCTTGTTTCTCAACACCCCTCCTATGCCCAAGGGGCCTGGGTTGCCTTGGCTACTCCCATCACAATTAAGTTTCACGAAGTATTCAGGTGGAGGTTTCATAGAACTTTTTCTTTTGCTTTTTGTAATTTTTACAATATTTCCATACAATATTTCTGACATGTTTCTTATATTTGGGTGACTGACATTTTAAGACATAAATATACACAACTTGGCACCCATAAAACCACATAAGATACATCCTATGGTTTTTCTTTATTCCAATAGCGTTTCTTTGAAATTGCATGATCAACCTAAAATTGGATACATGCTAAAATTCAGAGGATGAAAATTTAGCTAGGCTATAAAGGCCTTAATGAGCATGGCATGAAGGACATGAAATTGTTTGTCTCAAAAGCCTATGTCCATGGAGAGAAGGGAATATCAATCCACTACCAGGAAATGGAGATGAGACAACTTTCAGACATAGCTGGACCTTGCTCACACTCTTCAAAACTCCAATGTAAATTCTAATACATATAATTGCTTATATAAACCTCTGATAACAACTTAAAATTGCATGTGAGCTCCTTGTAATCCCAAATTACACTATACCCTTAGATATATTACGTAAACACCCTTGTATCCTCCAAAAGCAGCAAAATTGTATCTTCATTCAATTATATACTTTTCTCCACTAGTTACTTTGTTTCTTATTACTTCATTGTTTATCATTTTCCTATTTAAAATTCATAAATGTTGAAGGAAGTCTTTATCCACTGTCCTATAGCAGCTTCCATCTGGTCCCGCTTCCTCAAGTCAGCTGGTGTTTTGTGGGTGACTGTCCGGGAGTTGTTGTTAGCTTGTTCAGTTTCTGGAATAAGTCCTAGAGGCAAGAATATATGGAAGAATACTAGTGCAGTTGTAATAAGATCAATTGAGCTGAAAAAAAATAGTGTTTACTAACAAGTGTAGGCAGGTTTATGAGCTTATTAGGTTTTTCATCAGGCAAGCTGGGATCCTGGATCTCAGTCTTAAAGGGGTTCTCCCAACAGAATGTATTTGTATTCTTTAACTCTAAAAGTGTGTGGAATGTAAAGTGTGGTTTCTGCTTCTTTGGGAGTGGGAGCTGAGTCTTAGCTCCATTGCTTCAAGAAAATTGTTGTAATGTCCCTGCTTGTTGATTAAAAAGTTTAGTCCTTGCATGTTACAGATCTAAACTTCTAGCCCTTCATTGTGCAAATCCATAAAAGTCTCTCCTTCCCCATCTTACATCAGTTAACTGATCTACTGTGTACATCAGAGTTGAAACAGAATACAGCATTGCACCCATTTACAGTAAATGTTTGATGACAACACATCACTTCAAGTTACCACTTATCATGCTAGGCAACACAACAAAGAAGAAAGTACAGAGTCTTCAAATGAATTCTTCATTTACTAAACAACGATTTTCCAATCAAATATTGGTCTATATGTGCACACAAATAGAAGTGACCATTACTTGGTGTAATGGTAAAATCTTAGCATGTCAAGTGTGAGAACGTGGGTTCAAGTCTGATAGCAGCTAGTTTGTGTGATAAAATGCCAAACGCTAGGACCAGATCCAGTCCACCCCTCCCAAAACCCCAGATAGCTGGGACCAACATTGGGTACTGGCCTTTCTTTTTATGTGTAGACAAATAGAGTTAGATATTAGGAGATGGGACATAGTAGGACGCTACAGGAGGCATTTGAATTTAGGGAAGTAGTGAAGTAATGTGAACATCAGTTCAACCTAAATTAGGCTCGTAACTAAAATATAAAAAAAGTAGAGAATATAAATCTACCTGTCTAACATATAATATAATATAATACAATATAATATAATATAATATATATATATATTAAAGAAAAGCCCTCAGATGAGAGTGCTTCTCTCTTTCAAACACGCAGCTTGCTACTCACTAAGAAAAGGGGTAAATAAACTTTAATTCAAAAACATTAATACATATATATATATATATATATGTGTGTGTGTGTGTGTGTAGAGTAGGGTGGGTCCCACTTAGAGGTGTAAATCGGGCCGTGCAGCCCATGGCCCGGCACGATGAGTTGTGTCGTGCCGCACGTGGCCTGTAGCATGACCCATATATATATAATTTTATTTCCAATTTTATTATGCATTGCATTTTATTATTACATATGTAAACAATTGTATACATCAAAGTTCATATAAAATAAAATTTTAAAACTTTTTTTAAATTTTGTCTATTTTGTTAATTTACTTTAAATTTTTATTATCTTTTCAATTTAAAAAAAAAAATACCTCTCATGGCTTAGTCTAGTCCACGGCCCAGCACAGCCCAATTTACACCTCTAGTCCCACTCTAGTTCTCAAATCATGTTATTCACGCTAGTTAGATCACATCCTTTAAACAAAAAATAAATCATACATTTAGTTTCTTAACTCAAATAAAATTCCAGCATAAATGTTTTCAGGTTGTCACATTGGAATGGTGGGTCCTAGACATAATTGGTTACTCAATTAGAAATCAAATCTAATATTTCAAGTCCTAAATCAAATAGAAAAAAAAGAGCCTGAATGTTTCAAGATTGATCTCTAATATTTTGGGGCTCAAATAAATAAAATACAAGCATTTAAGTTTCTCTTTATTGAGTGGTCATTCACTGATAAACAAAATAAAGAAAAATGTAAGACTTGGATTATAACTACTTACATTCAAATCATAACTAAAACATTATGAAAACAAAATTCAAACAACTCTAAGACTTTAACATTAAACTCCTATGATGATCAAAACCAACAATAAACAAATAATCTTTCTAATTTTTTGTTTGACATGAAAGAGATCCTGAACAAACTAATCATATTAAAAAGCCAATTTTAATACTCAAAGAAGGTACCCAGATTGAGTAGGTTTCACTCTATAATGAAATGCCTTTCTTAAAGCAACAAAAGCAAGGCGAATGGAATTTACATTAAAAAAGAAAAAAGGGTGAGCAAGAGTAGGTTGAAAAACTGCTAAAATCTCTTCTTGACAAGAAATTCGATGATTGTCACACATGATGATCCCAAATCAACAATAAGTATGAAATGAATTATGAAAGTACAAAACAAGGAATGGATAGAAATCTAGAAATGGTAGACAAAAAGAAATGATGAAAAGGATAACGAAAGAGAAGTTTCTCTTACTAAATGATCTAAATTTGTAATTCAATAGAAAAAATGCTAAAGATAGAATAGACACCTTCCTCTTGAAGACATGACCATTTGAGCAGGATCACAAAGAAAATCATATATCTTTCCAAGCTTCTCTTGGTTATCCACAATAATGATCCCCCTTGTGTACAACTCTGATGACAAGCTTGGGAAAATGAATGCTTGAGCCAAGATAGAAGTTTGTCTATATATGAAATCCACAACAGTTGATGATAGTAAATCCTTTTCCAAATTTTCAATCAATATGGAATAATAACCATTAGTTTTTGCAATATCATTTGTAAGGGAACTTTTTCCACCCAAGTCCATATCTTCTATGATCCTTTCCTGGTAATTGCTGATCCTCCCTGCCTTAACAAAAAGCTAGAAATTACCACATGTACTAGAATTTCAATAATGGTATTTAGAGAAGAAAGAAACCTTTAAATGTCTGTGTTTCACAACCAGATAACTTGGAATTCCCAGCCTCCTGCAAAGCATACAAGCATCAAATATCATTACTACAACCATAGGATACTCAACACAAAGCAGCCTTATTCCAGAACCACCTGGACTGCAGAATATGTGATTTTATTCTGCATTTTTCTCACAAATGACAATAGTGAAGTAGCTATATGCCTATATCTTTCTTTCTACATATTGTGATCAACTTACCTGAGAATAATTATATGGTGGTTTACCACCAGATCTGCTTGACTTGCTTTTAATAGTTGAGAAATGAACTTCACTATGTGCACCCTCTTCAAGTTTCTCTTTTGAAATCTTCACAAAAGAGTCCAGTGTTGGATGCAATGTATCTCCATTTGGAATTAGACAGATATCTTCAATACCAATCGATTTCTTTTGCCCAGAATTTGGACCGTGTAGCCAAAGAACCACAAATGTGCACAAGCACTCCTCTTCCCCTTTGGAGTAATTATGTGCTTTGGATATCTGTGACAACAAACTCTTAGAACAGCTTCAAGTAAAGAAACAAAAATGACAATAGCTTGAGAAAGTATTACATGTAAGCATATGAAATGTAAAAGAATCTGTACTGGGAAATTCAGTTTTAGGTAATAAATTATTGCATCACTGGATCTGACTTTCAAGTAGAAAAGGACCAAAACATGACTTTCATATAGAAAATTATTGCACCTGTACTCAGGTAATATAGGCTCAGCATTGTAACTTACATGGCTTGCAATATGGTTTGTTTTGTTCATAATCCGCTACAGTTCTTTTGAATAATAGAAATCACACTTTTCATCTTATGAGCCAAGGAGAAGCATCTGGTCTAAGTACTAAACTTATAAGTACTCAAGAACCAATTATGTACTCAAGTGCAGCTTTAGGCATTTCCACTAAGTTTGATTTCCAAGATTTAAAATCAAAGTTAAAGGGGTATTGATGGGAGAGTCAAAAACTGAAATGTATCGAGTTGGACTGCATTAGCTAAATAAGCATGGATTGAGAAACATGGAATATCTCACAGTTAGCATCACATGCGCACATAAAACTGTTACGCATACCTATTTACAATGGAAAAAATAAGTGAAAAAAAAAACTATTTTTCCACACAAAACTTTCAATTCTTTGGGGAGGGAGGGAGAGAGAGAGAGAGAGAGAGCTCGTAATACATACTTTACTTTATGTAAGACAGCATGTAAACCAACCATTCACCCCCTACCAAACAACAAACAAAAGAAAAAGACAGAAAAAGAGTAAATGTAAAGTCTCCAACTAGCGTCTAAACTCCTATTCTCTAACTACTTGTAACAAAAAGTTAACACCCTATTACATAGAATGTCTCATTCCCTAAAAAGTTATGAAATTATAAATAAATAGATATATAGCTAAATAAATAAATAGTTGGATACAAGTCTTGGTTAATGAAGTTCATATGTAGGGTCAGCCATTGCCCATTGGTAGTGATCTTACTACATACAGGAGAGCTTTTGGACTTATTATGCCCCTAATGAGTTCAAAGATGGCTTAGATGAACGGCCGGGTTTAAGCGAAGTACTTAATTTGTAATCTCTGTTTTTTCGTGGCCATTAGCATTTGCCTTATTTCTCTGTAACTAAAAGAAATGTCCGGATCCAAGACATGTCTGGATTCATAGACGTTCTCCCTCTGTAGTAAAAAGAAAAAAAAAACGGAGAGACAATTTAATGTTTGTCATTTTGATCATCACACCACCATTGACAATGAAATAACATATGGAATATGGATTGTGTTTCATACTTTCCTGGCGAAGTAGAGGTAAGATTAATGAATCGTTTCTCACAGAATTGGAGTCGCCAAGACATAGTACGGATTATGAGGAGCATTAGGACTATTGATGATAATGCATGCCGCCTTATAAAACATGAAAAGAGATGCAATATGTCTAAAGAAAAAATAATAAAACAAGCACAAATGCATTTACACTCAGACCAAATAAGTAGAACCAGAGCCCTCATGATCATGAAGACATGAATGTTATAAAAACTACAAAAAACTCTAAAACTTAAGCAAAGAAAAGGTAAAGATTCATTCTAGCAGGAGGAATTCAATAAGAAAATGCAATCAAAAGTGAAATCCAAGATATCCAATCCATGTAAGAGAAACATCAATTTCGTGTTTCCTTGGGAGCTGGGAGGGAGAGTAGTCTTCACACCTTTTCCTCGATAACGGCATCGTAGAAGCGCATCTCATTGTCACCATAAGGATGTGAAGCGCAAACACACATCTCTTCGATCACTTTAGTGCATTCATGATCCTGCAACTGAAGCGAAGTTGGTCGAAACCTACCCTTGAAGCTTTCAACTTCTTCGAGACTCTTGAAGTCCCACGCGTTGAACCAGTCGTCAAACTCCTCGGGAAAATCGAGATACTTGACGACGAGGGTGTTGTTATAGAGTACGAGTCGAACACCGTACCAGGCGTCATCCGACGCCTTGAAATCTAACAATGGAAACGGAACGTCAGCCTGAGTGTTGCCGGATTTTGGCTTCGACTTCTTTGGTGCCATTACTTAGACCGAAAGAAACTCCAATCAAGAAGTAGTTTTCACTTTTTCTGCCTTTTAAAAAGTATGCAATATGCAATTGCAGTAGTTGTTGCATAGAGCCACCATAGATTGTTGAATGCTTTTTTGCCGCCACAAAGTACATTGATAATAGATTTTTGGCGTTTAAAGCGACATTGATTGACGGTTGGGAATTGGGATATATGCAGTGGGGCGCAGATGTGATCTCCCATTGCTGACGCTAACACTCGAAACCGTCGGAGTAGGAGTAGCCCTGCGCTAAACAAACCATCAATCACGGCGACGTAGGATTTGGCTACAGTAATGCATCGAAGGCCATTTTTATTATTTCATCACCATTCCATTCTAGCCTCACGCTACAACGAACGGCAGTAGCTGGTTTTTACGATACTCCTCGACGCTAAATACTGAAATATACCTTTTTAATATTGACATCAATTTTGAGTGTATCCAAAAACTGGATGCAAATTTTGTTCTCATTTAGAATGAAGGCAATAGCATGTCTTGAGTTGAGATCTATTTTAAGACATGTAAATTAAGTTAAATGAAATCTGACCAGACAATAGCAAAAAAATTGAACTACAATATAATGCACTAAACTGACATTTGCACGTGGTATCTATCCTTTCACCTCGCCCTCACGCCTTCACCGACTCATGGCATTCACTGTTCTCGTTTTTCGTTTTTTTCCCAAGTCCCAAGGCATGAGCTATTTGATAATGATTTATTTTCATATAAATGGCTTTCTTAATTTTTGTCAGCTAAGCTAAGAATCAGGATACGTCAAAAAAAAGAATGAAGATATGTCCAAACTCCAAACACAAAACCTAAGAAGAGTTGCTTTCAGAATTCAGCCTGTGTGTGTGTGTGTGAAGTAGGAGTGATAATGGGCCAGGCCTCGGTCGGGCTTAACCCACTATAACTCTGGGCCTCTGAACCAGTAATATAGGCCCAGACCTGTTAGACCTTTACCCTTTGGCTTTTCTTTGTGTGTGAAACACACACACAAGCGCGCTTCTAAAAGAGGTGAAATCGACTTGTGTCCATAGCCATCGGGCTCATTGGATGTATCATGGAAACCCACCTTAACGTCAATACATCAAGGGTTGGGAATTGGGATTCACGGCTTTAGCCCCAGGGTGGTAGGTATTTTCATATTTCTACCTTGTAACAGCTGGAGCAGAAGGAACCCATTGTTACATCTAAAAAGTAGAAACTAAAAAGTACAATTGAGCTCTCCACATAATGGTGGCTAAATTACTTTTGTTTATTCAATAGATATTACAGTTTATTCTTCCAGTTTATACTTCCACAAAAGTCAAAACCAAAGCCAAGAGAAGGCGAAGAATAAGAAAATCAAAATGGTGGAGGCGGCTGAAGGTACTCATGAAGATATATCTTTGCCAAATAGTCCAGTTATTCCTACACCTGGATCTTTTTGTTTTACAATGGACTCCCCAACCAATACCTACAAAGACAATATTGAAAATTCAATTAGAACTACTAAAATGCATCTCTTTGTCTCCAATATAGAAACCCAGCCACAAGTATTTATATCAATACAAGCATGAACCTGCATCGGAAATTGTAACATTTGTATACAGGTAGTGAGACATCAGAGTGTCGATAGATCAAATCAAACATTTGAATGGTTTCTTTACTAGGAAAAAAAGAGGAGACATTTACACGATCCACCGTGAAGGCAGAGCCATATTTGCCCCACTGTAGTTGGTCTAGTTAGCTAGTAATCTGGATATGTTTCCTCTCTCAAGAGAAAATTAGGTCCACATAATTATCTTTTGAATAGGCATGAATGATCAAATTAAACAAAGCAGCTCATTACTCATTAGGACCCCATACCTAAAGCTAGCATCATACAACCCATTTGATTTTAGGATCTGGACCAATTATTCATTTAATGGAAACTATTGTTTGTATTCTCCAAAACCCAAAACATGGTTCTTATGGGTGTCTTCACAAGATACATGCCAATTACAAGAAGGTCCTTATGTTATTCCACCTCTTGCTTGTTTTGGTCAAAACTCAAAAGACAATTCTTAATCACAGTTCACCGATTTTCACGATAATAGCTTATTCTGCAGCAGAATTATCTGCATTTGATAGGTTTTAGATATATTTACTTACTTTTGAAGGGCATTAAATGTATTTCAAAATTACAGTGGCAAAAAGAAAATCTCCTATTTTTATTAGAAGGCAAAGTAACATGCAAAATGTGGGGCATCTTGAAAAAAAGCCACATCAATGTTTTGGATCCTCAGTAAGGGTCACGACTAGTACTCAGTAGTTATGAAAACTGGACCATGCTTGATGATTCAATAGTTGCATCATCACACAGGTCCTTGAAGGCTGAAACAGTGGGTCAGTCCTCAAATTTTCCTTAGAAACTACCTGAAAACTGTAGAAGTAGTTATTGACAATTCAGTGATTTTTACTTGGGATAACTACACTGCACTCCACGTCAGAACTCTGAACTCCACTGCAGACCTACAACAATTCAAAATTTCAAACACCTCCCCCTATAACACCAATACCCGCCCATGCATTAGCATCCTGGCACCTACCCCAACTGTACGGTGGAGCTAAGATTTGTTGGGATGGACTGCACAGTAAAAACCCCTTTTTACTTCAATTTTCTATGCCATTTTCTTCTTTCAATCTCTTCTTTAATCGCAGTTTTATATACTAACAGTCAAACCACTGAAGTCTGAGCTGCCAGTCTCAATAGTTTGATGTCCAGATCAGATTTTCACAAAATTTTAGCAGAAAAACAGGGATTGCCATTTAGAGCTATGAACATAGTTTTCAAGGCACCGAGGCTAGGCGATAGGGGGCACTTAGTTGCCTAGTCACCTAGAAGAGCACCTAGGTGATGAGATTTTCTTTTTTTTTTTTTTTTTGAACAAAACCCATGAATCCTAGGGTAATTCCCTATGTTCAATTGCAAGTGAAAACCATCTTTCACTATTAATTGTCTATAATCTTCATAAAAAAAGGATGTATAAGCTTCGCTTAAAACAAAAGAAAAATCAACATATTTATGAAAAAAAATGGAAAGAAAAGAAATTTTAGAAAATAAGGGGCTGAACCTCTATTTTTTTCCTAAGGCTCAGTTTGGAGGGAGTACAAATACAAATATGTAGAGTGTAAAACCTTATATTTTCTATGCATTTGTACTGTACATATTTGTATTTGTACTCTTTCCAAACTGAGCCTAAGAGAAGAAAAAGAAAGGATGAAAGAAGAAGAAGAAGAAGAATCAATATGTGTTGATTGAACAAAATTTTGAGCTCTTCTGTGCTTATTAGTTCAGGTTTTGAAGTCTTTGAGGGTTCAAGACAGTATACATCTTGATTGAACCCTAACAAATAAGAAAAATAATAAAAAGAAACTAACATTTTAACTCAAAATGAATAATTTAGTTTAATAACTAGCGGGGACCTGTGCGATGCACGGGATTTGTTAAGCAAAAGTTAAACGATATTTAAATAAATAATAATTATTTATATTTTATATACTACTTTTAATAATTTTTTTACAATACAAAAATAACAATAATTAATTTCAGCTAGGGTTGTTCATCAAATTGATGAAACCGACCAACTCGACCCGAGTTGGTCAATTTTATAGTATTTCCGGTTGGCTTTGGTTCAGCAATTTCCCAACCTGGCCTGGTTGTTTAACCAAAATTGAACAACCTGATCATAGATATATATTAATATTTTATATTTTTAATATAATTTTTCTATATGGGAAAGTGGGAAATTTTCCATATTTCTTAGTCTAAAATATTTTATATCATAAATTTAATTTTTTAATAATATCACTATAATTTTTAAATTTAAATTTATTTTTTTGTTTAAAATCTTTTGAACCGACCAACCAAACCAAAAACCAACCCAAACCGATACAGCCCAAGTTGGCCGATTTTCACTAATGGTCAGTCGGTTTTAGGTGACCAACTCCCCAACCTGACCAGGTCGATTTGGTTGGCCAAACAGCCTACAACCAAGCCAAACCAACCCGTGAACACTCCTAATTTCAGCTAAATTAATAGTCTAATCTCTAACAAATAACAATAGTATAATCTACAATAATTATTGAAAATTTATAGCAAAAATACAATAAATACTTAAAACTATATTAGATTAGTCAATAAATAGTTTAGTCTTAAATAATAGTTTAATATCTAATATAGTTTAATATCCAAAAACTATATTAGATTAGTCATTGAAATATTTAAATAATATTTTTTTTTAATTTTAAATCTTTATTGTTTGAATACCATTTACATTGAATAATCCGAAAAATCATAATTTATATATTTTTTTTGATAGGAAACGGTAACTTTCATTAGAAAATTAAAAAGATTACAGGCTTACCACCCACAAAAAGGATGGAAAAAGAAAATTAAAAACTTACAAAGAGGCCCAACTCCTTGCTTAGTACATAATTTCGTGATGAAATTTGTAAAAATGTAAAATTATTAATAATATGAATATTATTAAATCTATTATAATTATTTTTTGTGTTTTTTAATAAATATTTTAAAGTTATTGTAAATTTTGTTAGAATATTTAAATAATTTTAAATTTTCTTTAGATAAATATAGATAAAAGGTGGGGGAGAAGATAAATAGGAATTAGAGATAATTTAGAAGATAAATAGGAATTAGAGATAATTCAAGAGATAAATAGGAATTAGAAATAATTTAGGAGAAAGTGGAGGAGGTAGTTTAGGAGAAATTTTAGGAGAGGATATTATTTATGTTGTTGAGAAAGTGCATCTCATTGGTTGTTTCAAAAATGACATGGAATAAAAAAATAAAAAATTCAAAAAAGGAGAAATTTTCTAGATTGTTGTGTTTTAGTGTGTGTGTGTGTGTGTGTGTGTGTGTGTGTGTGTGTGTGCGTATCTTGGCGATTTAAGTGATGCAATCATAACAGTATCTCAAAAAATTAAGAACATAAAAGTATCCAACTGCACCATATAAAAATATCTTGGCGATTTAAGCAAGGCAATCATCCATGAGCACCTTATTAACTAAGCATCACTCTACATGTTTGGCTACCTTGGTATTACCTGATAGTTAAGTAATATATGACTATATCCCAAGAGTAGTTTCTACTTTATATGGTAGTGGGTTGTTCTTGTATCATTTGGTGTGGCAATAGCAAACATGCTTTTGCTTGATTAGTTGTTTTTCATTTGATTGATAGCAAGCATGTTTGTGTTTTATTGGATGATCACAAGAAATTGTTGTGACTATGAACTTATGAAAACAAATCACCAAGTCCAGTGACTAGGTGATTTGGTTTATCCTTTAACTTATAGCATGCCTAGGTTTTTTATAAAGGCCACAAGAAAATGAGATATTGAGATGATTATGTGAACTCATCACTCCATTTGATTAGTCTCCGTTTTATCATATGATAAGGAGTAATTCATGTATTAGTGTATCACTTGGAGTAGCAACAAGAAGCATGCAATTGGGTAATTTCGTCTTTCTTTTGATTGATAAAATGTCTATGTTTTATTGGAGGGTTGCAAAAAAAAGTGTTGTAACCCTGTGGACTAATCGAAACCAAATCACCTAGGCATGCACTCACAAGTTGATTTGGTTCTAAATTTGATTATTAGCATGTTTGTGACTTATTGGAGGGTCATGAGAAAGTGTTGTAACCACGTGAATTCATCAAAATCAAATCACCCAAGCATGCACTCATTGGATGATTTGGTTTTTCTTTTGATTGATTAGCATGTTAGTGTTTTATTGAAAGGCCACAAGTATTGTGATTATGTGAACACATCACAATACAGGTTAGGATACCTTTTCTTGATTGTCATAGTAAGGTAATAGACCTTAGAGGTAGTCTCTATTTTTTCATATGTTTAGTGGGTTATTTTGGTATCATTTAGGGTAGGAAAAAGGCATGCATTCATTGGGTGATTTGATTTTTAATTTAATTATTAGCACGTTTGTGTTTTATTGTAGGGTTGCAAGAAAGTGTTGTGACCATGTGAACTCATTGAAACCAAATCACCGACATGCACCCATTCAGTGATTTCGTTTTTCATTTGATTGATAGCATGCTTGCGTTTCATTGGAGGGTTGCATGAAAGTGTTGCGGTCATGTGAACTCATCATTCAACATGTTAGGTATTTCTAAATTGTCATAGTAAGGTAGTAGACCCTAGAGGTAATCTCTATTTTTTTCATATTTAAGTGGGTTGTTACTTAGTGTATGTCATTTGGGGTAGTAGGATGCACTCACTGGATAATTTAGTTTTTTGTTTGATTAATAGCGTGTTTGTGTTTTATTAGAGGATCATAAGTGTTGTGACAATGTGTACACATAGAACCAAATCACCCAAGCAAACAATCCCTAGTGATTTGATTTTTCATTTGGCATTTTGGCTGATAGTATGTTGTGTTTTATTGGAGGGTTAAAAGAAAGTGTTATGGCCATGTAAACTCATTGCTCCACATTAGTTTAATAATGTCTTTTATTATTATAATCTCAAAAAAGTTAAGAGTATAAAAGTATTCAAGAGCCTCGTGTAAAAAATATCTTGGTGATTAAGCGAGGCAACCCACCATGAGCACCTTATCACTTGGGCATTGCCATGAGTAGAGGTGTCAATGGACCAGGTTTGGATTGGACCCATCTGAATCAAAACCAATTTGAATGGGTTGGACAGTCTAATAAGACATTGAATTGGGCTAGTTCAGATTTAATGGTCCAAAGTATTTATTGGATTGGATTGGACCTGGTCCATCTGTAATAGATTTATATTGGACTGGGTCGGGTTGAACCAATATCTGGTCCATTGACCAGGTTTGTGTTGGACACAATTTGAATTAAAATCAATTTGAACAGGTTGGATCTTGGGTGATCCAATAAGACATTGAATTGGACCAGACCAGTCCAAAGTATTTATTGGATTGGACTTGGTCCATCAGTAATGAACTCATGTTGGACCAGATTGGGTTGGACCAATATCCAGTCCATTGACAGCCCTAGCCTTGACAATGACAACTATGACTCTGAAATACACAGGACTCGCAAAATATGGAATCAAAGATTCCCTATGCATAAATATACAGCTTCATGGTCTTACCGCTTTAACCCCAGCTTCTTGTACATAAGCTATGTCATCTGGAGTAAACAGCCCAGATTCCCCAACCACCTGAAGAGTCAAGAATAACAGACATCAAATCCCATGAGAACACAAAACATAACACCACCTACAACCTTAACCCATCCAAAATGGGGGAAAACTTACGGAAAATAAGGGAGATAAATTTACTATGGCTTAAGATAATGATAATACTGGTGAAAGGATTACTTACAATTATGTCTTTTTGCCGGATCATTTTTCCACGCTCTCCCTCAAGAAGTTTCTTTGTGTTGCTAATATCAACCTCAAATGTTTCTGTGGATTAGCCAAATGAAAAGTTAAATTGTCAAAAAAGTCAAATTCGCTTTTTTTTTTGGTGATGGCATTGGGGGCTTCATCGAGATACACAAAGGGAGGGGGGGGGTAACCCTTTAACTTTTCCCCATACCCATAACACCCCAACCCTGAAGGCGGGAAGGGAACCCAAAGTATATGTTATGTAGCTGATGATTTGCAAGTACATGGTATTTGTTCCCTCATGATACCTAAAAGAGCAGTGGAATGTGTGGCAAATCCAGCTATATGTATTTCCAAAATAAGGTGAAACAAGGAGTTAAGAAAGTATGATAATGAAAATTAAGTTTTACACAACTAAAAGGCTTAAATTGTTTGGACAGAACCATCATAAAAGAAGGTGACTAGACAAAATTCCACAAGACACTTTAGCTAAGCAAGGAGTTACTAGGGAGGCTTTGTTTTGGGCCTATTTGTAAGTTTTTGTTTTTCTTTTTCCATCCATTTTGTGGGTGGTAAACCTGTAATCTTTTCATTTCTCTAATGAAAGTTGCCGTTTCCTATCAAAAAAAAAAATCCACAAGACAATAAATCATAGATATCATTGTTAAAGAAAACAAGTTGGATTGGAAAAGGAAAAATCATACAGTCAAGCACAAGGTTTGGGTAAGTAGAATTCTCCAAGGAAATATCTTGGGTATATAGAATCAGGACACATAGGTCGATCTTTGGGCCCCATAAGGTCATAACTTCTCACCGATCTCATGTTTTAAGAATCAGGACCACCATTAAACAGGTCCCAAATAAAAGATTGGGCATTATTTGTAAGGCCTTCTTTTTAACTTGAAAGAAACTTTTCTTCTCCATCCAATTAAAAGCAGTAGAACCAGAGATTGTTATAACCTTCTGTGCATAATTATTTTTGGTCTAGCTCATTTACTAGGGAGGACCAATCTGATAGTGGGCTCAATGCTAAAAAAAAATAGGAGACTTGGCAAGTTATAGGAGCCTCAGACCTATCTATGGATTCTGTGTTCCTGGACCCAAGATTTAGCCACTTCATAGAGTCACAAAGAGAGAGAGAGAGAGAGAGAGAGATTACCAAGGTCACGGTTGTTGATGCCAATGAGTTCCACTCCATCAATTCCTAAAACACGATCCATTTCCCTTTCATTGTGCACCTTAATAGGGTAATGAAAAGGAAAAGACAAAGAAAACCATGCAAACAATTTCAATTAATCAGTGCAACAGCAATACCTTTTTCTTCTTTAATAAAGGAATGCAAATAGAAAATAACAGACATAGACCTGAATGCAGATAGATGAACCAAAGAAAATAAGGTAATGTCTCTCAATGAAGTTAAATAGATAGAAGCCCAGCAAGAAATTCATTTATATCTGTCAACCTTCTCTTTTTAAATAAAAAACGGGCAAGTAATTACTTAAAAGCATAAAAAATAAGCAAAAATTTCAGTCTAGTTGGACTAAAGAGTAGCTGTCTAAGTTCGGCCTCAATTCACTAGAACTTGATATTAGTAACAAACTAACTATGTTAAATAAACAGAATATTGAATCTTTCTTTCCTTTTTTTTTTGGGAGAAATGGTGTGCATGAAAAGAAGAATCATAAGCAAAACAATGCAGTTGCTCAAATAATAAAGTATGTAGCAGGAAAGCAATCAACAGACCTCCACCAACGCAGCCAAGCCAAGTATTTTGCATATCTTAGTCATGTAGCGTATGTCAAGATCAGGCAATACAGCAGCAATCAAAAGAACTGCATCTGCCCCTTTTGACCGAGCATAATAAATTTGCCAGGCATCAATGATAAATTCTTTGCAGAGAAGAGGACACTGCATTACTTTCTGAAGTGAGAAGCTTGTATTCAAAAGATAATGTGTTCATAAGAAAGCATAGAAGACATATTTTTCAGAGCAGACCTTTACTCCAGCATTCCGTATTGCCTCTAAATTTTCAAAGCTTCCCTTTGTTTAGTTAAAAAAAAAAAGAAAAACAAACGAGAGAGTCAATTAGTAGAAAAAACTTTCCTTAATTGATGCTAGTAGTAAAAATTTACTACATCTTTCCATCCCATAAATTTATGACATCAGGCAATAACTAAGCAAGAGAGATCAAATTTACCTTAAAGTACTTCTCATCTGTCAAAACACTAAGACATGCAGCTCCTCCTTTCTCATAAGCTTCAGCTATTTGAACCTGTTTCAGTTCATGAATGCAAAAAATTAAGGAAAAGTAGAAACATAAATCAGGACAAGTTTGTAGAAACTGCAAGACAGAGAAATATGTCTGGGAATCTAACTCAGCAAAACAGAAAAAACAGACTTGTTGACATGTCCCTAAGAATCTATGAAGTGTCAGAATCCAATTTGTGCCTGACACAGACATTGTCAGAGTCACATACACAAAAAATTTACCGGATCAAAATCCTCTCTCAATATGCCTCTGCTTGGAGAAGCCTTCTTTACTTCAGCTATCAGAGCTGGTAAACCAGTTCGCATATAAGATGCCTTCAAAGCACCAACAAAATCTCTAACGGGAGGAGCATTCTCAAGAGATTTCTTCAGAAGAGACAATGACTTTCTTTCTTTTAACTGAAAAAAAAAAAAGGTTTCAAGAATATTAGCAGTCAATCCATCACATTATAATGGAAAAAGAAAAGACGTACAAAATGGAGCATAAACATACTTGTGATACTTCCATGTCCTTGTTCCATACTATTTCCTCTAGAATGTTACGAGGAGTATTGCCCTCATTCTGTAACCTGAACTCAAAGGGACCCACATAATGCAAAGGGGGTCCAGTGGATGGCCGTCTTCTAATTCTGATACCATGACTAGCAGCTATTTCATCTTGAAATCTTCCTACTTCCCATTCCTTGATCTCGAGTGCATTACCTTTGGAATCATCCATTGGAGGAAGTGTAGAATATCCATCCTTGGAATTTGACTATTAACACCGATGAAATATAAAATATAATTTTAGAGCCACTTATATGATTTATCAAGAATTAATTTATTGATTTGGGCATAATCCCTTTCTTACAAACAAGGATTATCCCTACTAACTCATAATTACAATCAAAGTATTATTTTCTTTCTGTTTACAAGGAATTCCTTTTTCTAATTTCTATAAGAAATTGAATGGATCCAAACAAGCACCTTTTAACTTTTTCGTGTATTTGTAACCCAATTTACTATCTAATCTGAACATAAAATGTTTAAAAGTTGGTAGACTCTAAGTTGAACATTGGATTAATTTGTTTTTATCAGTTTTCTTACTTAATTTGAATTTGCACATATTTTGAAAATTTTCAGCAATATTTTTTGAAAATCATGTCTACAAGGTTTCATTCTTTTTTTAAGAAAAGCTAAGGTAATATTGTATTAATTGATCAAAAGAGGAAACAACCCCTATACAGTGAGATGTACAAATATAGGTATTCAAAAACAGCAAAAAAGAAGTGTTTTAAGAACAAAAAGTCATATAGCGTAAGAAGTGGCAGTGTTTGTCCAAGAAAAGACATTTGCAGAGATGTTCCGGCAGACTCCTCCAGCTGAGAAGCTTTTCCATTGAAGACCCTGTCGTATCTCTCCATCCAGATGCACCAGAGAGTGGCTGCAGGAAGTAGATAACAAGATGCCTTATATTGGGGAGACAGATTCTGCACCTACCAGCTTTGAAGCGCCTACAAAACTGAGCTTGGAAAGACCCAGATTACATTGAAGCTTTTGGGAAGCTGTCTTGGCAACAGAGAACTCAAAGTTACAGAAAACACAGATGGAAGAAGGAACATTTATGCCTTTTCTGAGAAGTTTTTCCTTATTAAGGGATTTCCCAAGGGCTGCAATCCAAGAATGAAAAGCAATCTTGGAGGGGATTCTGCTATCCCAAATGATTTTGTGGGGAAAGTCGGGGGATGTGGAGAACTGATGATGAATCATGGATTTTACTGTAATGCTACCAAAGCTACAATGTTTAATTCTTTCAACTTAACATTATTAAAAACAGGAACCATAAATTTTCACAGCTCTAGTTTTTATCTGACTTGTATATTGAGCTTTCACTAAAGAAGAGTTTAGAGGGGTTTCCAATGATTCCATCATCATATGTTGGCAAACAATGGCTAACCACGCTATTAATGTGTCCCCAGTGTTAAAGAAATGGAAGTCCGCACTTCAAGAATATCCAAGTTTTATTTAAATGGATATTCCTTGGGTAATTAAGGGCCATCAGGTATTATAGGGAATTTAGAGATGGTACTAGTTTTGATCTGACTTGTATATTGAGCTTTCACTAAAGAAGAGTTTAGAGGGGTTTCCAATGATTCCATCATCATATGTTGGCAAACAATGGCTAACCATGCTATTAATGTGTCCCCAGTGTTAAAGAAATGGAAGTCCGCACTTCAAGAATATCCAAGTTTTATTTAAATGGCTATTCCTTGGGTAATTCAGGGCCATCAGGTATTATAGGGAATTTAGAGATGGTACTAGTGATGCTCCCATGTTATTTTCAGGGCAAAAGGACGTGGGGACTCAACTTGAGAAGAAAGGGGCAAAGAGCTTTAGTACATGGTTCCAAGGCTCTACTAGGGCCATTTTCTTTTGGGCAGCATTTAAGAACGGATTACTTTCCAGGTTACAGCACTCTATTTTGGGTGCCTGTTCAAACATCTTGTATTACCCTTTCATAATTTAATGAAAGTTACCATTTCTGATTAAAAAAAGGTAGGTAATGACTCAGTTTTGCACAGAATTAAGGGGCAGAGGGACCTCTCAAACAGGATGGATACTAGTATGGTTCAAATGTCCATCAGTCCATGGATTCAAAGAATCTCCTAAAAGAGGGAGCATTTTTGACAACCGGGTTAAACCACTTGTTCAGGTGGATACTAAAAACAGATAATAGCTTTGCAGATAGCCTAGCCAGAAAAGGAGTGAATATTAATAACAAAATATTTACCTGGATGCTCCTAACTTGGGGTAACATTATATGATACTGTTTTGTAGTGCTGTCTGGTCGGTTCTATGATAGTGGTCACCTTTCCTTTTTTTTATCAATATGGTCACCTTTCCTTTTCCTTGTAAAGGGAAAGGGAGCAAGGAGTTGTACTACTTTGTCTTTCTTTCAAATCAATAGAACTCAAAGATTTTGTTAAAAAAATATCAAGGAATATAAATAAGAAGAATAAGAAAAATTAATACCAATTATACCATTCAGTACAACATTCATTGTTAAACTATGGGCTCTTAAATCACTACCTCAATCCATGTCCTCAGTCTGCCCCTAGCTCTTCTGGCCCCTTCAACTTGTAATAAATCATTTCTTACCAGTATTGTAGATTCTTCTCTGCATGTGACCAAACCACCTTAGTCAATTTTCCCTCATTTCATCACCTACTGGAGCTACTCCTAAGTTGCTTAAAATAAGTTCATTTCTAATCCTACCCTTTCTAGTTTTCCCACTCATCCATCTAGTTATTTGCATTTCTGCTAAACCTGTTTTTGACACATTTCTTTACTGCCCAACACTCCACTCCATAAAACATTGCTGACCTTATGACCACTTTATAAAATTTTCCTTTTAGCCTAACTGGATTTCTCCTATCATATAAGACCTTTTTTATCAGCAACTCTCAAATGATTTCATTAAATAGAAAAATTATGGATCTCCTCTCATATAAGACTCCAGATGTGCCTTTCCATTTTGCCCATCTTTCTCTAATTCTATGGGTTACATCCTCCCCAACATCTTCCTTGTGGATTACCAAACCAATGTTATAGAAGAGGTCACATTGAAATATCTCTTAGTCTCCAATTTTAAGTGTACCCTGATTTCCACTCCTACTATTATTAAATTTACAGAGAAATTTTTTGTTTTACTCCTTATTTTAAACCTGTGATTTCTAAGGTATTTATCCGTAAATCTAATTTTGCATTTAATCCTTCTTTAGTTCCATCAATTAATTGCCATCAGCAAACAACATGCATCATGAGACCTCCTCTTAAATATGTTAAGCCAATTCATCCATGACTACAGCAATTGAATAAGGGATAAGTTCCAAGCCTTGGTGAAATTAGTATATGCATATGCATACATGTATACGTACAGAATTTACTGAGCTTCCCTAAATGACAGAAATCTTTAACAAACCCTCTTGGGCATCTATTAGATTATATAAATAAAAAAGTTGGAGAGATATTATCAGTTGGGCAAAACCCCAATACAAAGGTCACCATAAGGCCAGCATGGACTGCATAATTGAACAGATGGTCTATGATGTGGACGCTTTTATTGGGAAGACATATCACCGCCGGAAGCAACAGTAAAGGGAGCAAGATTTGCTGATTCTCGTCTTATCTAATTCTAGCTAGATACAGTCTTATCTTATCTTATCAGTTCGGTAGGATAGATAAAGGGAGTCTTATCTTATCTTATCAGTTCAGTCTTATCTTATCTTATTAGTTCAGTAGGATAGATTAGTAGGGAGTCTTCCTAATTAGCAAGGAGTCTTCCTAAAAGTATGACTCTTATCTCTTGTAATATCCTATTTAAGGAGCTGATATTATTCAATAAAGGCATCGAAAATTTCAGTCAAGAAAGGAGTGAGGAGAGTTGGTGATCTCTTGAACAAATCACCATTAAGGCGCCAAAATAGGTTCCTCAAGAAAAGGGAGGAACAAGGGAAAACAGGAGGTTTTCCCCGTGGACCGACCCGTGATGAGATCCTATTCGCGGGCCCATAACAGTCTATCCAATGGGCTTCAATCTGGTGAACAGTATTAATCAACCATGGGACCCTTCCGTGGCAGAAAAATAGGTATAGAGAGGCAAACAATATAACTGCTTAAATGATGGGCGTATGAGAACCACACTCTTTTGCTATGTAGGCTGAACTTTAGCGGTTTAGCCATATAAATAAATTTTAAACCATTTGGTTAGTTGGATTAAGTGGTTTATAGGGTTGAGCACCTCCAAATAATATCAGCTTTATTGATCAAAAAAAAAAAAAAAAACATCACCTTTATTTTAAAATGGAGGGCCATTCTTGACTTAAGAGTCCCCCTCTCACAATATAGCAATGTTGTGTGTTATTCATATACAGTGTTTTTCTAACAGCGTTATTTATATGCTCTATCCATCTAACAGAATACTGCAATCTTCAAGGATAAATTTAGGTTAGCTTTTGTACAGCGCGTAGAAGGGAGTCTACTCATTAGTAATAATCAGTAAGACCCAGAAAATTTGGTAATTTATTATTCTAATTGCTTCTATCTAAGTTTTATATATCTACTCTGGTTCTTCGTAAACAGACGATCATAAAACAGATTACTTGTACTAATTATATTTTCAGGGTTTTTTTTTGTTTACTGTTATATAATAATTTGAAGTACAATTAAGTCATTTTATGAAATTTAAAATTTAGGTGCATGTCCGCGAACACCCATTTTGTTGCCCCTGCTGATCACAGAAACATTCTTTAGTTATACAAAGAGCAATATCTGCAACGGCTGATTAAATCTCTATATGTAAGAACTTCATAGTTTCCATCAGAGTTTCATCCAAAAGGTCTTTTTATTTTCTGATCAATCAAAAGAACGTCTAAATAACTTAGTATAAAAAGCCAATCCATGCACCTCAGAAATAAGAAAATAAAAAATAAAACCCATAAAATAAATTTAAGTTCGAACAAGAATCAACAGTTTTAATTCAAGACTTGCCAGCCGAAACCATGACTATACATCAAAAAGGATCAAAACCCAGTTGGACTTCGGGGGAGTTTGAAAGGGCATTGCGCACCTGCTGTGCTCGAATGGTTACTGAGGACCTAAGAGCTAAGCGTCCATTGTCCATTAGAATCGACCTCTCAGTTGTGAAATTCCGTCGGGGTTTAACAGTAGGAACCCGCGGAGACGAAACCCTATGTGATGCTGCGATGACCGTTCCTTCCATTTAGAACTGAAAACAAAACCTCAGACGATCTTGTAAGGAGATAAGCCCAAGGTAAGAGAAATAATAAGACGCCAGGGGAGTAATTCTCTGTAGTTGGTTCGTCCCTTTTATACTCAATTGCGCGCTTAGACGTGCAAATAATCTTGGGAAGATCGCAGCGGGCTGATAGGGGGGAGATGTCGGAAGTGAGTATGTGTTTGGTAACGTTTATGTTTCTTCAATAAACGTTTCTATTTTATTTGCTGGTAAAATCGAAAAATGCAATAATTGCAACCGTTTATGACAACTGGGCACCACTTCAATGTAACGGTGAATAAATGTCTCCCGTTTGTGGAAATTTCAAAAAATAACTTTTACAAACCGCTGATATGCATATAAACCAAAATTTACTTTTAAATTTTCGATCTACGCAGAATAACAAGAGAGAGAAAATGCTGAGATGGCGCATATGTAACACCATTAATAAAAGTTTACTGAATAAACTTAAATGGTACCAAACATCATGAGCTTCTCTTCTATCTTGTTTTTTGGGAAAATTATATGTAGATACCCTATACTTTGGGGTGGTGACAATTGAGTTCCTATTCAATTGAGATTGCCACAATTTAGCATCTTAAACTTTCAGAAATATGCATTTAAGTCCAATTCAAATCTTGCAATATAAGATAAGAATAAAATTATTAAAATGCTCAATGTTTAAATTTACTTTATCATCTTCTTTTATCTTCAAACACTTACAATGTTCATGTTCTCAGGTACATCCCACCGTGCATTAGGAACATTTCCCCTAAATAATAACACATAAATACGGGAAATGTTCCCAATACATGGTAGGATGTATTTGTATGAAATCAGTGTGAGACACTATGTATTAGGAGCAATCCAGTCTCATGCACTTATACCCTTATATGTTGTACGAGTACAAAAACCAACATTAAGCATTTCTCAGTGTTCATCCATTCTCGTCATCTTTTTTACATGCAGACTTTAGTTGTTTTGTTATTACGTGGATTGGTGTGGTTTTTTTACCGTAACAAATTGTGTCCTAAAAGTTCAAAAAAAAAAAGAAAATAAAACAGTAAAAAAGACTTAAAAGAGGAGAATTTCGACATGGGCATTTTAGAAATTTTAACACAATCCCGAAAGTTCAAATGGTTAAATGTCATTACCCCAAAGTTTAAACTTTTCCATTATTTTGTCATCTTCAAAAACCCCCTTTAGGTTTCTAATAACATTTAAATATACCCATTCCATTATGATATAGATGTTAAAAGTACAATTATGCCCTTATTATTATTTTTTATAAAAAAATGAAAGTGCTACACAAGCAGAAGATTAAGTGCAACAAAAGCAGAAAACAGTGAAAGCGCCTTATTGGCAATCCAATCTGTCACTTGATTTAATTCCCTAAACGCATGCCTGCAGTTTACTCCACTGATCGGATTCTCCTTCAAATGCAAGCAATCCGTGTAATTCCATGGCGAGGTGGTTTGGCCTTTGAGAGAGGAGAACTACGCCCTTATTATGAATGTGCAGGGAGGAGGTTTAACTGTTTAAGATTAACCCCAAGTTTTGCCCATGTTGTCCACTTGCTGAAACGGAGAATTAAATCCATTTTAAATAAAGTGCCTTTTGGGGGTAATTTATTAATTTTTATATTCTAATAAAAATCTTCATGAGCCAAAGATAAAAGTCAAAAAAATGGATTTTAGAAATTTCAAAGAATTACATTATTTACTAGGAGGCTTAAATGAAATGGGTGAGGAGTGAGCTTGTACATTTAAAATATGAAGGGAGGTTTTTGCAAAGGTGAAAGTGCAATTAAGTTTAAGTACTCGCCATAAAACAAAGATGTCTAGAAATTCGAGGTTGATGTTGAGCAAACGTGGCCCATGTGTAAAATGTTAGTGTGTTTGGAATCTATGTTTTGTACTTAATTTGTTTGAAAAACCAAGAAAAATAATAATGAATCCGTTTATTAACACTTAGGTGCCATTAAGCATCACATCAGCAAAATAGTAAATAAACTCCAACCTGTTGGGAGAAGTGTTAAAATGAAATTTCTCTTCTATCAGGGCAGAGTCTATGTGCACACTGTTCGCGTATCATGAGGATGTGCCACGCATTCTTTCTCTATACATGTGCTTGAAACATGCAAAATAGATTAAATGCCCGTTAGCTTCTATTTGTTCCATTCCACTTCATGCTCCTCTCTCGTCAGACACACTGAACCGAACCAGGCCTGTTTACTTTCACTCTCTCCCCCTCCAATTGGCAACGACCAACAGCCATCATTGGCAACGGGAGAAAAACCCAAGTAGAACAATGATTTTTGTATCTTGTATCTTGTATCTTGTATCTTGCACCTTGAGTTAATCTCGAGTATTCATTGATCTAACGCTACCCGCACTCTTAGCTCTTTTATACATTCCTCACGTGTTCTAACTTGAGCATCGGAGTATTCCCACCGGGCAAGTCCCCCAGGAATTCTTCACCGTCTTCTTCTTACGTACAATCCGTCACCAGCTAGGAGCCAGTCAGTTGCCAGCTAGGAGTGCCTGGATCATGCAACATCATTTGACGTCGTCTGTGGGAATACGCTTCAAAAAGCCTTCCTCTAATTTCTACAATTCTCTCTGAAAACTCAGCACTCATGGCTTCCTCTAGTAATGCCGGACACGGTACCGACCAGAACACTCCAGGGGAACAACCCCAGCTCCCAACTGTCTGCATTGGACAATTCACCGTCCCCCTTTCTGTGGACGGAATTCCCAGCTTGAACGTGCCTCACACAGTGGCACCTATGAATGTTGCACTTCCTTTCGTGGTCAGAGCAACCTTTATTGAACCTTTCGTTGTTCCCCCAGTGAGCAACCAAAACCAGCTTGAAGACCTAGTGCAGTGCATGCGAGCCATGTAGGCTCAAATGCAACAGTTCCAACAGTTTCAACTCTACCAACAGCAAGTGTTGCATCAAGTTTCTCAGTACCAGTACCAACAGCAGTTCCCTTCACTGCCTCAAGCCCAGCAACTGCTTCCCTCTCGGCATCCGACCTCAAAGCAGGCCAAGCCCTCCTGCCGGAGTGAATGTCCTCGCCGGGGAGAGACCTCTCAAACCTAGAATCCTTCCAAAAGCCAAGCCTCGTCTCGCGGCAGGAAGGAGAGACCAGTCACCCCCGCCTCGTAGCCCGCGGGCAGGTCGGGGGCCTCCCAGCCGGTCAGGCCCACATCACCTCAACACTCTCAGTTCGAGCTCCCGCTCGCAGAAAACCAGTTCGAGGTCCTAGCCGCCGATTACAAGCAGGGCCCTTTGATTCACAGTTCTCATCAATAGTTCGAGCCCATCGAGCTCGGTAACACTGAATCCAGTAGCACCAACGCCGAGCTGACGAAGCAGCAACGGAGGCGCTGACGAGCTCGCCGAACCGCCACTCGCGTCCTGCCCGAGCTCAAGGGTAAGGAGGAGGTAAGCTCAAATGAAGTGAAAGCTACTCCTCTCCTGTCAGTCCCTTCCCCTCTGTCATCAGAACTTCTTGTGGTCCCTATGCTGAAAGATTTCAAGCTCCCTCCCCTAGATAAGTATGACGGGTCCTTCAATCCGAACGACCATGTGGACGCCTTCCAGTCCTAGATGCACCTGGCAAGGGCCAGTGAATCCTGTATGTGCGTGGCTTTCTCCACCACCTTTAAAGGGGTGGCCCGCACATGATACCGAAACCTTGCGCCCGGATCGATAAGAAGCTGGGCACATGATACCGAAACTTTGTCACCAACAAGAGGTGCCCAATAACTCAAGAGAGCCTCCTTGGCATAGTCCAGAAGGAAGGGGAGTCCATCCGGAGTTATATCAAGCAGTTCAATGACACTTGTTTGTAAATACCCAATCTGGACCCCGTAGTTCGTCTCACCGCGGCCAAGCGAGGCATTACTCATAAAGAATTCAAGTGGCATGTGGTAGTTAACCAGCCCAAGACTGTGATCGAGTTCCTCAAGCTCGCGGATCAGTTTATAAGGACCGAGGAGGAAATCAACCAGAAGAGCGCAAGCGTGCCCGAAAAGAGAAAGAGGGAAGGCGAGTCCTCAATTCAAGGGGACGGTAAAAAGAAAAAATACCCAGCTCGGGGGCAAGGCCAAGATAGCCCTTCCGAGCTCCAACAGCAGAAAGAACGGACTATACGCCCCTGAACGCGAAGCGGGCCGAGATCCTTATGGCGATCGAGGATGCCCCCGTATGTGAAGTGGCCACCTCGGTTGAAAGTCGATCCTAGTGTAAGGAATAAAAATGTATATTGTAGTTTCCATAAAGATCACGGTCATAGCACCAAAAATTGTAAAAACCTCTGCGACGAGATAGAAGAGCTCATCCGTCACGGATACTTGAAAAATTTTGTACACAATAATAATAATAAAGCAGGTCGGCAGGGAGAGCAGAGTACAGATGCTCCCGAATCCAGCAGGCAAGCGGAACAACTGCAGAAGCAGCCCCCTAAAGAGAGACCAGTTCGGGGGACCATCCACATGATTGTCGGAGGTTCGATTGTAGCGGACTGCACCTCAGCCACAGCTCGAACATCTACTCGCGAGGCCGCCAGGGAAGAACAGAACCCCCCGAAGCGGCCAAGGGTGGAAGACCCGATCTTCTTCACGGAGGATGACGCGCGCGGAATCCACTACCCCCATGATGACGCACTCGTCATTAAGGTAAAGATCAATGACTTTGAGGTTAGGCGTGTCCTCATTTACTCGGGCAGCTCAGCAGATATTCTCTTCAAAGCAGCCTTCGACCAACTTCAGCTCCAAGAGAGCGACCTGAAGCCCGCGAACACTCCCTTGGTAGGCTTCAGCGGAGAGGAAGTTAGGCCCCTGGGAAGGATTACAGTACCTGTGGAAGTCGGCACTTGGCCTAGCATAGTGAGGCTCAACCACGACTTCTTACTAGTCGCAACCCCCTCCCCGTACAATGCCATAGTAGGTCGGCCGATCACCCATGCCCTATGAGCTGTGGTCTCCACTTACTACTTGGCCATGAAGTTCCCCATGGACTTCGGAATCGGGATAGCGCGAGGTGACCAGCTTGAGTCTCACAAATGCTACGTCGCCACCCTCAAAGGGAAAGCCAAGGTGGCCGATGACCTCGAGCTGGAGCGACCTACGAAGCAGTGCGAGGAGCGGATTGTGCGCATGGAAGAGACCG